GAAAGTGTGTTTAAAGTGAGAGGAAACGTTTTAAGAGGGATTAGTAGCACTGCTTCTTTCATTGTAATTTTTTAAAATTTAAATATTCACTATATATTTTAGTCATTCCTTGTAGATTCAGCTTTAAATGTGGCTGAGCTAGTACTTAGAGCCAAGTTTTCCCGCTCCAAATCCAAGCTTCTGCTTATTACCCCGGAGTTTCTTGGTAAGGATTAGTTTATTTGCCACTGGCATGTCCTTCTACCGCAAAATGTTAAAACTATTTCACACTCACAGGCAAGACATGGCTGAACAGACACGGTATCTCATCTACAAGGAAGAAATACTGTGACAACCTGATGACCTGAAGGACCAACGAGGGACAATGGAAAGCCTTTCTGGTGTTCCTGGCTCTGCTACCAAGAGCGTCCGAGAGCTACCAGAAAGGCTGGTCTGGAGCACACAAGTATCTTTCCATCAATGTGACATTTCTCCAGCAAAGAAATAGCATAAAATATACACACCATTGACCCTGAGGCCCCTCCTGAAAGAGCAGATGCCACGAGGAGGGGCGCAGAGCCCTGTAGGCGCTGCTGCAGGCGTGCGGCCCCAAGCCCAGACCTGGCTCCCTGAGCCCACAGCTCCCGCCCAAGGGTCTGGCTCAGCTTCACACGCTCTTCAAGGAAATGCTGCCGGAGTAAATTCCAATTTCTTTAAAGTTAGAGATTTTGCTTGTTGCTCTGCATTTGGTTCTCTTTATTTTTAATATTAATTTTATTGAAAAACAAATAGTAATAAGATATTTTCAAAACAGGTGAGTAGGACAGTTACAACAATTAATATATTGCATATTGTTGTCTTCACAGTAGTTATTCATAGTACAAGATGCGGATATCTTGTCTAAACACTATTAGTACAATTCTTCCTTCTCATTGAACTAAGAGAAAGTAGCTGTATATCTATGCTATTATATATTTATGTATATAATATATATATGTATGTATATATATATATATGTATGTATTTTTTACTACAAAATATATATATATATATATGTATGTATTTTTTACTACAAAATGGTCCTTCATTTATGTCCCCCTTTTTTGTTTACTTTTGTCAGAGATGGGTATTCCATTGGCATTCAAATATTGTAGGTGTGTGAATTCAACAAAGTAATCCAATATAGTCCAGTAGTCCATAATAGTACTGGGTTATCTGTAGGACCGGCAATGTCAGAAGTTGTTAACTTGAGCCTTTTACAGCTCAGCATGTTAAAATGGCTTTACTTTTTATATCTCATTTTTATACTTTTCTGCTGGATGGTTAAGACTAAGATAAAGCAAGACCTATATAACAAAAAATGTACATTTATATCTAACAAGGTCAGTCAAATCCCTCAGGATTTACCCTGAAACCCTATATTTTTGAAATTAGCAGTTAAGTGGTAGGATTCTCATTCTGACTAACTATGTATGCTGATACCTGTGAACTAAGCAACTGCACTGAAGATAGCCCTTAATGAAGGAGTTTATGACTTTTTGTACTATATAGGCTAGAAGAAAATCCTATGTCTATGAAACTCAAAATCATCATCCTAGCCCTAGTACCTGCTTAGTCCCTATGGAGTGTCCACAAGACTTGGTTTTTTAAATTAGTCTGCTTTACTTTATGAACTTTGAAGATAGTTTCATGTCTGGGAATGAATTTTTCTTTTTATTCTTTCAACACAGGATCTCACTATACAGCTTAGACTTACAGCAGTCCTCCCGTCTCAACCCTCCCAGTGCTGGGATTACAGGTGTGTACCACAATGCCCAGTCTCAGTGGCAGCATGGCATGCCTGGGGTTCCTGGGCTGGCACAGCATGTGGTACTGGGGATTGAACCCAGGTCCTTGCACTTTTCAGGCAGGTGCTTAGACTGCTGAGCTATCTCCCTAATCCAGAGACTGAAATGTTTTAAATGTACTTTCTCCTCAACAGTCTGATCTGATCTAATCTGATCTTGATCCAGTGAATAGGGAGAAATTAGGGCTCCATAATACTTCTGGTGTGAAATTTTGGAAAGCTGTTTGGCCGCTCCTCAAAATGCTAAGGATAAAGAGCCCTTTCCAGTCCTTGACAAGGTCCAGGAAGTTTATATTTGCAATCCCATGGATAAATTATTGGAATCCAAGTTAATTCCAATCTACCACATCCAGTGCAACTCACGGCAAGAATAAAGACCCAGAGGCCTATTTG